CTACTACCACCACCACTACTACTACTACTCCTGCTACACCACTACTACTACTACTACTACTCCTACTCCTACTCCTACTCCTGCTGCTGCTGCTGCTGCTACTACTACTACTGCTAGTACTACTACAACTACTATTATTATACTGCTACTACTATACTGCTACTACCAACTATACTATTCAGTAGCAGCCACCACCACCACCACCATCTCCAACAGCTTGTGCTTGGCAGGCGGGTTGGCGCAGCAGCAGCAGGAGCAGCAGCAGCAGCAGCAGGAGGAAAAGGTAGCTAAAATCATCATTTTCTATGGGTTTCAGAAGTTACATTAGGTAGTTTTTAGGCGCAATTTTGATGCTTTTCCGTCCATGCTTCGCCCTCCTTCACTGCCATGGTGTTTTCCCATCCGAGAGCTGTCTTTTGAACAGAACGGGGAGCAGCATGGGGAAAAAGTGGCACAAAGAAGTTACAGCAGCAGCAGGAGGAAAAAGTTGCTAAAATCATCATTCTATGGGTTTCAAAAGTTACGTTAAGGACTTTTGGAATGCAATTTTGGTGCACCTCCGTCCTTCACTGCCATGGTGTTTTCCCATCCGGGAGCTGTCTTTTGACCAGCAGCAGCAGCACCAGGAGCAACAGCAGCAGCAGGAGGAAAAAGTAGCTAAAATCATCATTTTCTATGGGTTCCAAAAGTTACGTTAGGAACTTTTGGGGGGCAATTTTGATTCTTCTCCGTCCTGCACTGCCATGGTGTTTTCTCATCCGGGAGCTGTCTTTTCAACAGGAGCAGCAGCAGCAGCAGGAGGAAAAAGTAGCTAAAATCATCAGTTTCAGAAGCTACGTTAGGGACTTTTGGGGTGCAATTTTGATGCTTCTTCGTCCTTCACTCTCATAGTGTTTTTCCATCCGGGAGCTGTCTTTTGAACAGAAGGAGCAGCAGCAGCAGCAGGACCAAGAGCAGCAGCAGCAGCAGGAGGAAAAAGTAGCTAAAATCATCATTTTCCATGGGTTTCAGAAGTTACGTTCGTGCCTTTGGGCTGCAATTTTGATGCTTCTCCGTCCTTCACTGCCATGGTGTTTTCCCACCCGAGATCTGTCTTTTGAACAGCAGCAGCAGCAGAACCAGGAGCAACAGCAGCAACAGAACCAGCAGATAGGAAATGATGATTTTAGCAACTTCTTCCTCCTGCTGCTGCTGCTCCTTCTGTTCAAAAGACAGCTCCCGGGTGGGAAAACACAATGGCAGTGAAGGACGGAGAAGCATCAAAATTGCACCCCAAAAGTCCCTAACGTAACTTCTGAAACCCACAGAAAATGATGATTTTAGCTACTTTTTCCTCCTGCTGCTGCTCCTTCTGTTCAAAGGGCAGCTCCCGCATGGGAAAACACCATGGCAGTGAAGGACGAAGAAGCATCAAAATTGCAGCCCAAAAGTCCCTAACGTAACTTCTGAAACCTATAGGAAAGGATGATTTTAGCTACTTTTTCCTACTACTGCTGCTGCTGCTGCTGCTGCTGCTGCTGCTCCTTCTGTTCAAAAGACAGCTCCCGGATGGAAAAACACCATGACAGTGAAGGACGAAGAAGCATCAAAATTGCACCCCAAAAGTCCCTAACGTAACTTCTGAAACCCATAGAAAATGATGATTTTAGCTACTTTTTCCTACTGCTGCTGCTGCTGCTGCTGCTGCTGCTCCTGCTGCTGCTGCTGCTGCTGCTGCTCCTTCTGTTCAAAGCACAGCTCCCGGATAGGAAAGCACCATGGCAGTGAAGGATGGAGAAGGAAGCAACAAAATTGCACCCCAAAGTCCCTAACATAAACCCATCGAAATGAAGATTTTAGCTACTTTTCCCTCCTGCTGCTGCTGCTGCTCCTGTTCAAAAGACAGCTTCCGGATGACAAAACACCATGGCAGTGAAGGACGGAGAAGCATCAAAATTGCACCCCAAAGTCCCTAACATAAACCCATAGAAATGATGATTTTAGCTACTTTTTCCTCCTGCTGCTGCTGCTGTTCAAAAGAGAGCTCCCGATTGGGAAAACACCATGGCAGTGAAAGACGGAGAAGCATCAAAATTGCACCCCAAAAGTCCCTAACGTAACTTCGGAAACCCATAGAAAATGATGATTCCCCACAACTTTGTGTGGGGTTCTTGTTTTTGATTCGCTATCCCGGGCCTCCGCCTCCTCCTCCTCCTCCGCCTCCTCCGCCCATCTTTCTTCCACACAACTTTGTCAACCACCATCTTTCACCTGTCACACACAACACAACTTTGTCACACACCTTTGTTCCACACAATTTTGTCACACACCATCTTTCACACATTGGACCGGATTAGTGGCGGATGACGCCGCGACACTTTGCGTGGCAGGCGTGGCACTTGGAGGCATTCACCTTCGTTTTGCGTGGCAGGCGTGGCAGGCGTGGCACTTGTCGACATCCACCTTCGCTTTGCGTGGCAGGCGTGGCGCTTGGTGACATCCACCTTCGTTTTGCGTGGTAGGCGTGGCACTTGGTGACAGCCACCTTCGCTTTGCGTTGCAGGCGTGGCACTTGGCGACATCCTCCTTCGTTTCACGTGGCAGGCGTGGCACTTGGTGACATCCACCTTCGTTTTGCGTGGCAGGCGTGGCACTTTGTGACATCCACCTTCGTTTTTGCGTGGTAGGCGTGTCACTTCGTCACAGCCACCTTCACTTTGCGTGGCAGGCGTGGCACTAAGCTACATCCTCCTTCGTTTCACGTGGCAGGCATGGCACTTGGTGACATCCACCTCTGTTTTGCATGGCAGGCGTGGCACTTATGTCACTGCGTGGCGCGCTTGGACGGCTTGGTCGCCGGTGACGCCGCGGCACTTTGCGTGGCAGGCGTGGCACTTGGTGACATCCACCTTCGTTTTGCGTGGTAGGTGTGGCCCTTGGTGACAGCCACCTTCGCTTGGCATTCTTCAACAAGAAACGACGTTCCAGATTGAAACTAGACGACAGTGTGGCCCGAAAGAAAGCTGGCGGGAGGAGACGAGAAGATAGCACACAAGAAAATATGATGATGAATGTTGCTGGTGAGGAGCTGTTACACAGAAGCTTTTACGCACAGAAGCTTTTACACAGAGAAGTCTTTATACAGACTGGCTTGTACACGCAGAAGCTTTTACGCAGAGAGAAATCTTTACACAGAGAAGCTTTTACGCATGGAAGCTTTTACACAGAGAAGTCTTTACACTAAGGAGATTTTGCACACAAACGCGTTTACACAGAGGAGCTTTTACACACAGAAGCTTTTACACAGAGAAGTGATTATACACACAGACACGTTTGCACACAGAAGCGTTTACACAGAGAAGCCTTTACACAGGAGCTTTTACACACAAGGGCGTTTACACACAAAGCTGTTACATACAGACTCTGTTACACAAAGAAGTCTTTACACAGAGAGCTTTAGCCCACAGGCGCATTTACAGACAGAAACTGTTACGCAAAGAAGTCTTTACACGGAGAGCTTTTGCACACGGAAGCTTTCACACACAGAAGTTTTTACACAGAGAAGTCTTTACACAGAGAAGCTTTTACACGCAGAAGCTTTTTCACACAGAAGTTTTTACACATCCATGAATATGTTCAAAAAAGCATCAGGAATACATTTCTGAAGCAGCAGGTCCTCATTCAATAGCTGTCAAGCCCACCCTGCGATATTCTGCGATGGCATCGAGGGTCAAGTAATCCGGCGGAGCCGACGATGAGCGTCAGCTCTAAAATTTGCTTTTTGTTCAGAAGCTGTGGAGTTGGACTTCGGGTCAACGTTCATGCCATTCCGATGGAGCAACTTCAAACCCATTTGACCCATTTGACCCTGATCCAAAAATGGCACACATGTGACCACACACTCTCCATCGTTCATCATTCATGATCACCCGACTGTCATTTCTGTCTGCCCATGATCCTTGAAGGTACCATCGAGGATGCCATCCTCATCTGCTGCACGCATGCTTACCATACTGACCAAGCTCCTGGCGACATGATGGCAATGCATGGCACGGCTTAACTTGGTGCAAATCGGTTAAGTAATCGGATTTCCTCGGGTTGCGTCTCAGCACCAATTGGTTGGATGAAATTATTTGCAGGGGAAAACAATGTCTCCTCGGTCGAGTTGAGGAGAAAGTCCATGGGAGCCTCCAGCGATTTGAGGTTCTGCTAGCTGGAGAAAAAGAGGATTAGGTTCAACACGCTGAAGACCCAACCAAAGCACCAAAAGTGCGAATGCTCTGACTCTACTGGTGAAGCAAGCGTCATGTGGAGACCGTGGAGAAACATGCTCTTGCTGCGAAACCTACTCCCGCCCAGTTTGCTGCAAAGCATTGCCAAGGCATTCTATTCTGAATCAAATTCCTTTACAATAGACCCTACCGACAAGAACCTGCACAGCTGTCTGCATTGACATGCCTGCAGAGAAGAATTCCAAGGAGCAAGAGAGGCCACTGCGTCGCAGCCCCCATTGCAGATTGTAAGCTGTGGTGCCAAAACCAATTTCAAAACCGTTGAAGGATAGGTCCTGCTGGAAGTCTGCTCATATCCACATGGGTATGCGACTTTGTGGCCATGTAGAATCAAGTTCTTTTATGATATCAAGGTTCATTTAGCTGTAGCAAGAAAGCCAGTTTCTGTTTGTGTGTGCAGGTGTCATAGGCGCGCGTTTATCCATGAACCTTCCGTCCTCTCTGTGAACAGAAATCTTTCACTGCAATTTGGGGCCAAAGAGTGCAGGCCATCACTTTGGACGAGGCCCCCCATTCCACTGTCGCGAAAACGAAGGACTATGAAAACTGAGATCAACTGAGGAGCTCAAGATAACATGAAACTGAGGTTTGCACCCTCTAACGGTCTTGTGAAAACGGAGCCTGGAAACTCAAGAGCGAAAACTCCAACCTCTGGCAGATTCTCCCAAAGGTCAATCAAGTGGCACTTGGATACTTTCCCACTTGCCTTTCCTTCCAGGTAGAGGACAA